TGGCCACAAGGACACACTGCTGGCTCATGGCATCCCAGCTTATCTCCATGCCACTGCTGGGGGTTTTCTCTTTGCAACCCACCAACCTGCCCAGAAACTCAGCTAGCAGGCAGTTGTTTTCCACCTCTAACAATTCAATTAACACACGTGTCACCAATGCCTTGTCCCACCCCTCCACGGGTGGGATCTGACCCCCAGGAAGCTGGACTCACTCGTACAGCCGCTCTCGCTGAAGCCCCAGTAGCCCGGGGCACACTGGTGACAGCGCACACCGCTGACACCGGGCAGGCAGTGGCACTGGCCACTCTGAGCGTGGCAGCTGGTCCCCACGGCACCGATGTCACAGTCACACCTCCGGCAGCCGGAGCATCCCTCGAAGCCGTAGTAGCCCTCCTAGGGAAGAGCAGAGCAGTGGGTGCTATGTTCAGCAAGAAGGAATGTGTGTGTCTCTCCTGGGGCAGGCTGAGGCCACGTGGGACCCCAGTCTTGCTTTCTAGGAGTATTTTGACCACCACAAAACTCCCATCAACGTGGCCAAGATGTGGAGCTGCAGTAAGAGCTCAGACACATCGCAGTGCTGCCCTGCAAACCCGTCCTTGCCCTGCAATGCCCACACTGGATACAGGCAGAGAAATGGGGTTTATTGCAAATTCCAAAAGGGCACCACATTTACTGCCCAGGCTGCAGCTGAACGCTGCCTCCATCCCAGAACTGCCTGGATTGGAAAAAGCCCTTTAAGATCATGGAGTCCAATCATGAACCCAACACTGACCAGTCCCCAACTAACCCATGTCCCTCAGCACTATGTCTACAGAACTCTTCAATCCCTCCAGGGATGGGGACTCCACCACTGCCCTGGGCAACCCCTTCCAATGCCTCAGAACCCTTTCAGCAAAGAAATTCTTCCTCACATCCAACCCAAGCTTGCTGCCAGATCCTTAACAGGCTTTCACCATGCACTGGCAGATCAGGCAAATCCAGTCTTACCCACCCAGCTGCCAGCACAACTGCCAGCCCTGCTGTGCTCACAGACCTGGGGACAACACACTAGTGCTGCCCCGTGTCCCTGTGCCAAGGCCAGGCACAACCCCAGGACGCAGGCAGCCCTCACCTCGCAGCGGTCGCAGTGCTGGCCGGTCACTCCAGCCTTGCAGAAGCACTGGCCAGTCTGTGGATGGCACGACTCTGTCCCACAAGGCGAACAGTTGCACTCTGCCAGGGAAAAATACACCCAGTTATACAGCAAGGAGACTGCTCAGCCATTCACAAACCTCATTCCTGATGGGGAATCCTGTTTCTCCCTTATCTAGCACAGTCAGGGCAAGGACGGAGCCTCTCTCCTCTAAGATTTGCTCCTGCTCCCAACTTATTCCCGTGACACAGAATCACACAATGGTGGGGGTTGGAAGGGACCTCGGGAGATCACCCAGGCCAAACTCCCAGC